GGGGGGGGGGCGAGGCCGCCGCGGGGTCACGTGGGGCGGTAGGCGGGGGCCAGGGCCGCTCGGGGTGTCTCCCGTGGCCCCCAGCGGGTGACCCCCTGCAGGGGCATGGGGCGTCCGGGGGCTCGCCAGGAGTGGCCCCTGGATGTTCAAGGGGCTCCGGAAAGCGGGGACTGACTTAGGGAGCCCTCCTCTTAGGACACCCGAGGGCGTGCTCCCCTCTCCTGGAAGCAAAGTGTCCACCTTCCCCGGGGGACGGTCTTGCGTTGCCCTCATCTCCCCATCAGGGTAGAGGGCCCTGTTTGCCCCCAGCCCAGTCGCATTTTTGTCTGCTCCCCGGGAAGAAGGGACTTCGAGAGGAAAACAGCTCTTTCTCTTCAGCCTGGAAAGTGGAAGAGGGACCCTTCTGCTATCAGAGCGGCCGAGCACTTAGGCGAAATGGGGAGGGTAGGCATTGGGGCTGGCTCTTTTTGATGCTTCCGGTGCCTTGAAAGCGTGGTCTGCCTCTTTTGGAAAGGGGGGAGGGTCCCACCACTGTGTTTTGAGGCGTGATGGTAACGTGGAGGTGTCACATGCTGGTGTGACTGACCTCCCCGGCTCCATTTGCGGCCTCCCCACGTCCTGGAGGGAAGGAGGCCTGTAGAATGGGAGAACTTTGCCGCCCTCCCGGGAAGCCGACCAGCGGGGGGCCGACTGAGTGCATTCCCGCAGGAGTGCTTTCCCTGGGTTGTTCAGTGCCTCCAGGGCAGAGTGGGAGGTCCCGTTAGGTGAACGCCCTGTTCCCCGCCCAGTGTGGTCTGTGGCTTTCTCACCTTTGAGATGGGACAGGTAGGGTTCTAATGTGCACTTAATCTGGACGCCCACCCAAGCGCTTTAACTGAGAAGCAGTTGTAACGGGGCGAGTTAATAGGAAAAAGTCTTCATCCTAAGAGCTTTGGCTCCCAAGTGTTAAAAAAAAAAAAAAAATGGGGAGAGGTGGAAGATAGATCCTCAGCTTAGCTCCTGGTTTGTGTTTCTTTGGAAAACTTGTGATAATCCCACAAACGGACTCTGGTTTTAAATTTGTTGGATCAGGCTTGGTTTGAAGTTGTTCTTCACGTGTCTAAGATGTAACATGTGTGCCCCAAGAGGGTCTTTTGTTTTGGTGGAACGAAGGTTTCGGATGCCTTTAAGCAAAAACGTCCCTACAGTTTGTTCAACAGATACAAAGATTTTGAGGGTGAGGGAGATAAAGGAAAGTTGTGCTCTTTAACATCTCAGAAGAGTGGGGCTACAGTCACACGTTCTGGTTCCCTGGTTCCCTCGTGGAGGCAACCTGGGGACCCTCTCGAGAGCAGATCAGTGTGGCTTGCCCGTCGGATCACGAACAGCGTAGGTACAAATCTCATCCAGAAAGGGAGTTTTGAAATTCCTGGATGACTCTTGAACGCTCAGCCCTTGGGTAGGTTCCGAGAAGTTGAGCCGAGCACCAGGGAAGGTTGGGTTTTGGTGGTAATCTTGTGTGCTTACAATTTTGTTTCTAGATCGCAGCCAAAATTGGAGGCGACGCTGCTACCACAGTGAATAACAGCACTCCTGATTTTGGTTTTGGGGGCCAAAAGAGGCAGTTAGAAGATGGAGGTAACTGTAACTACCTGCTGGGAGGAAGGCCTGGGGGTAGCCTTTGTTTGGCTCAGAGTCAGGGGGAAGCCCACTGCCATTTGGTCTTTTAAAACCTCAGCAATCCCAGCTTTGTTCATTCTTTTTGTTCGGGCTGCCTTTCTGGGGTATCAGGTGGCTGAGAGGAGCAGATTGTGACTAGGTCCAAGTTGTAAGTTCTCAAGATTGTTCCTCCCCTTCTGGTAGGCTTGGGAAATGCTCACGGTTTTATCGAGGCCCCACAGAAGTGCACCGTGGCTGGCCCTAGGGCATGCAGCACTGCCCACGGCAGCCAAAGTGATCAGTGTGGGGATCAGCCCAAACCGGACTTTCACCCAGGCCCTCCTTGCCCCTGGACTGGAGTGTTGCCATCCCTGTTCCCATTCGGAAGGACTGCTTCACCCTTAGTGCTGGTGGTGGGACTGATGGAAGTCTGTCCCTCTCCTGTCTGGGCTCTGGGGGTGGGGGTGGGGGAGGGGGGGTTGTTTGCCAGGCCGTGTGGCACCAGCATCAGATTTGAGGCAGCTGTGGGTGGGTGGGTGCAGCATCTGACATCCTCTCTCTTTCACAGACCAACCGGAGAGCAAGAAACTGGCTTCCCAGGGAGACTGTAAGTCCATTGGATGATGCAGGCAGAGGGCAGTGTCAGGGTCTTTAAGAGATTTTTAGGAGTCGGGAGCTGGAAGCTCTAGACAGAGGGCATCTGTCCTTTGTGGAGGCTCTAGGTATTCATCATCTGGGGTCCATGAGCTCTAGGGATCCCAGAGCCCCCAGAGATTGAGGCAGGGACAGTCAGTGGGTGTGCTGATGTGAGGTGGGCTTATCACACTTGAGCGCTCAGGAAGGCTCAGAAGCACTCTAGTAAGTTCCAGCCACTCCTCACGCAGGCAGGAGTGCCAGGGGGCCAGCAGTGTTCAGGGTCCCAAGGAGGAGCCAGGCCAATCTTTGCTTTGGGTTTTCTCTCTGCAGCCATCAGTTCTCAACTTGGACCCATCCATCCTCCCCCCAGGTAAGTCGCGATTTGGAGAACGCTTGTTTCCTTGTCTGTCAGCTGTCTTCTGGCCTTCCTTGCTGATGTGGGGAGAGCTGTGTCTGGGGGTACACCGTTCTACGGCCTCGTCCCCACTGCTACTTGGCCAGAGAGAGGCCCAGGAGGCAGAGGAGCAGCATTTGCTCCTATGTTGGTCTGTGTGTAGGGCCTAGGGAGGGGAGGGGAGCTCGTGGCCATGATGAAGGAGGGGGTGGTCTCTGTGCACTGTGGTGAGACCCTCAGCAGACAGCCATCTTCCCAGAAGGGCAGGGGGCTGGCCGTGGGTTTCTTGTCCGCTTTCTGCAAATGTTTGAGCCCTGAGAGCTGATGGGGCTTGGGGTTCTTAACTTTTTTGCCCCCCCCCCCCCCCAGAACGAGTCCAGTGGATCGGACATAGAATTGTTTGTGAAGGACCACGTTGTTTCACTTTTTAATTACATAGAATATAGTAAGGGCTTACTAGAGAAAGGACATGAAAAAGTTACAAGTCTTTTTTCTTTTGAGTCTAGAGACCTGAAATGCCTATTGGAATTCTGTAAACGTGTCTGAGTGTTTGCTCTTGTCCTGAATCAGTGGAACAGCACTAGTTCAGGGGCCACGCTGACCTCAACCAAGCCTCTCATGGCCCGAATGGGGAAGATGAGTCCTCGAGAGGTTGAGTGGCTTGCTGTGGGGAGAGGGGGTCCTGTACTCTCTTAGGATTCTGCTTAGGCCCGCCCTTGGTGGAAAGCAGGGCCAGAGGCTGGAAGCACCAAGGACCCTGCAGGTTAGGAGCTGTGGCCTAGGAACAGGTTAGGAGCTCTGGCTTCCAGCGGCCTTTTCTCCTGGAGACTCTCCTGCCTCTTCCATTCCCCTCCCCCTGTCTTCTTTCCCACTCGAGACTGATTGTTACCATCTGTCTTTGCAGGACTTCAATGACAGAAGAGTACAGGGTCCCAGATGGCATGGTGGGACTAAGTGAGTGGGTCACTGTGGGATGCCCATCACGCCCTGTCAGGGACCGCGCCCTGGGAGCCCCTGTTGGCCCAGAGCCTTTGGTCTGAGCAGGCCTCCTGTAGTCCGCTCCGCACTCACCTGTCCACTCTGGGCAGGGAGGATGGTGGAGCTCTCTGGGGAGGGGAGGCCAGGAACCCCTGCCACAGTCTTCTCAGCGCTAGGGTACCCTCACCAATCCTTTCTATTTTTTCCTTTTTCTCCACCTAGTCATTGGCAGAGGAGGTGAACAGATTAACAAAATCCAGCAGGATTCAGGCTGCAAAGTCCAGATCTCTCCAGGTAGGAGAGCCAGACTTGTGTCACGACGGGCGTGGGGGGTTGGGCTGGACTCCGACAGGGCAGAAGTGAGATGGGTTGGTGTTCACCGAGTGCTTTCTGTGTGCTGGGCTCAGGGCAGGGTCTCCACTCGTACAGCACAGTGCCCTGCGGTGTGGCTGCAACTTTGGTTTCTTCCATTGTACGCTTGCAGGGGGAGGGCTGAGGTGGAGAGTTGAAAATTGAATATAGGAAGTCTTGTTCTAGGGGTGCCTCGGTGACTCCGTTGATAAAGTGTCTGACTCTTGATCTTAGCTCAGGTCTTGATCTCAGGGTCGGGAGTACAAGCCCCGCATTGGGCTCCATGCTGGGTTTGGAGCCTACTTTAAAAAAAAAAAAAAAAAAAAGTCTTGTTTTAGATCCTGCTCTAAGCGATTAGTTAAGTCACCATCTGAACTAAGCACCTGGTGGAAAATCAGTGAGAACGTGTGAAGCAGGGAGGTGCCTTCAAGGGAACGACTTTGAGGCCAGGCCTAGATTTGAAGGCCAGGCAAGGACTGCTGTGCAGGGGTTTCTGAGGACTTGCTCTAACGTAGTGGGCTTCATAGGCCGTGGAGAGTGCGTGTGTGGTCCTCAACGGTGCCAGAAGTGGCCTAGGTTCAGGACATCTCCTTCTATCTCGTCTTTGTCCCTGAAAGATCTGTCGCCTTTCCTGGACTGTGAGCTTCCTGACCTTGGTCTTGCATAGAGCAGCCTCCCGGGTGTTTGGCAAGGTAGTGGTTTGTCAGGCCGCTGAATGGTGGCAGAAGTGGCCACTGGTAGCGCAACTTTCGTCATGTCCATAGAAAGCCTTTCTCCGGTGTCCACAGACTCAGAAAGGCATTGACCCTGTCTCTTTTCTCCAGACAGCGGTGGCCTACCAGAGCGCAGCGTATCCTTGACAGGAGCCCCGGAGTCTGTCCAGTAAGTCCCTTGCTGGGCCCTTGTGATGAGGGGAGCGAGCATCCTTTGGAAAGTTGGGGGCGTCGCCCTCGCCGGGGACCGTACTGATTTTCGGTTCCCCTGACGCCGAAGATCCGGGAAAACAACCCGAACGGCCCCAGCCCTGGCCCCGGGGATGGACCCTCTTCCTCGTCGTCATTTGCCAGACACGCGTGTCGGACTCACCTCGTTCCCTTTGAGCTGGACGGGGCCGTCAGGCCGGTACTGTCTCAGGTGTCTCAGTCCCAGTCTTCTCCTTGCCAGGAAAGCAAAGATGATGCTGGATGACATCGTCTCTCGGGGTCGTGGGGGCCCCCCAGGACAGTTCCACGACAACGCCAACGGGGGCCAGAACGGCACTGTACAGGAGATCATGATCCCCGCAGGGAAGGCCGGCCTGGTCATCGGCAAAGGTGGCGAGACCATTAAGCAGCTGCAGGTGAGGGCTGGGACGGAAGCTCTTCCTGTCCCAGGAAAGTCTCCTTCCTGCATCTGCGTGTGCATACCCCGCCGGCTGCTTTGCCAGAGCCTCTTACCCTCGTGGTCATATCTGCCCCACCCACGTGCACTGGCCCCAGAAAGTCCTTTGAAAGCCCGGCACTGACTATCCACATTGGTTGTGAAGGAACGAGCCGGAGTGAAGATGATTTTAATTCAGGACGGCTCCCAGAACACGAACGTGGACAAGCCTCTTCGCATCATTGGGGATCCTTACAAAGTGCAGGTGAGAACCCCGGGGTGTTGGGGCACCTGGAGAAGTGAGCAACAGATGGGGCTCGGGATTTGATTGAAAGGGGAAGCAGTATTCGAGAGCGCTCTCCTGCCGAGCTGTCCCTCCCAGTGCTGGACACAAGTAAGAGGCCTAAACTCTGATCTTTCATTTTCCTATCTGGAAAATGGGGGTTGCTGGCTATCCTTCCTCCTCCCTCTCGGGACAGCGGGGCAGGAGCTCAGCGGGGCGCTGATGGGCTCAGCCTCGGCCCGTGGGCCCTTGGGTGGTGGGATGCCGGGGGGAACGGTGTCGGAGTAGAGCGTGCCCTGTGTGTTTGCAGCAAGCCTGCGAGATGGTGATGGACATCCTCCGGGAGCGTGACCAGGGTGGCTTTGGGGACCGGAACGAGTACGGATCCCGGATTGGTGGGGGCATTGACGTGAGTGCAGGCCTCCCCCGATAATGGAGGGCCATGGGCTGGGTGTGGTGGGTGGAGGGCGCCACAGCTGCGGGGACAGGACCCAGCTGGACCCTCCCCCACCCCTCCCTCAGGTGCCGGTGCCCAGACATTCTGTCGGGGTGGTTATTGGCCGGAGCGGAGAGATGATCAAGAAGATCCAGAATGATGCTGGCGTGCGGATACAGTTTAAGCAAGGTCAGGGGCTTCGCCCAACAGATGAGTTGGCTGGAGGGTGACTGTGCCACCAGCTGTGTCCTAGGGATTCTTCCGAGAGTCCGCTGAGATGCCTTGGCACTGCGGTGTGAACCTTGTTGAGTTTGGGACCTCCTTGTGGTGCCTCCTTCGCCACAGTGGAAGAGGGCACAGCCATGTGAGAGAGTTGCTGAGGGGCACACTTCCCAACACATTTCCTAAGTCCAAAGGTGATGTCTTCTGTCACCAGATCTGTCCCTTTTCCTCTTCCCTACCACGTAGCCCATCCTGACTGGGGGCAGCCTGGACCAGATCAGATCACTGCCCCAGCTCAGTCTCCCAAGTGGCAGGCCTGTGGGGAGGAAGGATTGCTCTGTTCTGTTGTCCTTTTTAGCTCAGTAAAAGGCACCTATTAGTCCTGGGGTGCCCCAAACAGGAAGAAGCCTCGGCTGCCACCCTGTCCTAAGTGGTCGGTTTTCTCATCTGGAAATGTGGGCCCACCGGCATTTCCCGCCCGCTCCTCAATACTTGGGAGTGTGGTGAGCGGCAGTTTGAGCCCGAGATATTTCTGACACCTGGCTTGGCATGATGTCTACCTCGCAGAGGCGGTGTTATGGGGGCTTGGTGTTGTGCTTTTCCTTAAAATCTATCTCTGTTCTGTGGGTGCCGGCTTCAGATGATGGGACGGGTCCCGAGAAGATAGCTCACATAATGGGGCCCCCAGACCGGTGTGAGCACGCAGCACGGATCATCAATGATCTCCTCCAGAGCCTCAGGGTAGGTGACACTGGGGTGTGCGGCCAACAGCTGGTGGGTGCAGAGGGGGGGCTGGCCCGGCCCCACCAGAGGAGTCCAGGGGCCAGGCTGGCTTTCTGTGTTCACTCCCTCTCCTCCCTGTCTTGCAGAGTGGACCCCCAGGCCCTCCAGGGGGTCCTGGCATGCCCCCGGGGGGTCGGGGGCGAGGAAGGGGCCAAGGCAACTGGGGCCCCCCTGGTGGAGAGATGACCTTCTCCATCCCCACTCACAAGTGTGGGCTGGTCATCGGCCGAGGTGAGTAGGCCCCACCTGCGCCCCACATGCACTCCACTCCTCTCCTGCCCTCTCCTGCCCGCCCTTCACTGCCTGTGGCTCCCACAGGTGGCGAAAATGTGAAAGCCATAAACCAGCAGACAGGCGCCTTTGTGGAGATCTCCCGGCAGCTGCCACCCAACGGGGACCCCAATTTCAAATTGTTCATCATCCGGGGCTCACCCCAACAGATTGACCACGCCAAGCAGCTCATTGAGGAAAAGATTGAGGTGGGCTCGGGAGGGCTTCTTAGAGCCTGGACCCGGCTCCTGTTTCTCAACCGCCCCCCCTTCCTTCCACTGACCATCTGCTTCTCCTTCCTCCAGGGCCCCCTCTGCCCAGTTGGACCAGGCCCAGGAGGACCAGGCCCTGCCGGCCCCATGGGGCCCTTCAACCCCGGGCCTTTCAACCAGGGGCCACCTGGGGCTCCCCCGCAGTGAGTATTGGTCTCCGTCTCCTGGGATTTGGGGCTCAGGGGCTGCTGTGCTGGCAGGAAGAGCCACGGGCCCCGTTTTCACTCACATCAAGATGTGCTAATAGTCTCGGCCCTAGGCACGGCCCAGCCCAGCCTCCTGTTCCATAGACGGCACAGATGTTGACTGTAGTCTCCCACCTAACGGGCAAACTCATGGACATTGTATTTGGGGGACTTTCACATCCCAGAGCAGCACAGTGTGTCTCTTTTGGCATGGATCGTCTCGCCTTTTCCTGGGCGAGGAGCCTGTGGCTGGCTGGGCCTGGGCCCCTTTCCTGCCAGCCGGGCCTGCCCCCGTGGGGCGACAGTCCCGGCTCACCCGTCGCCCCTTCTCTGTCCTGCAGTGCGGGGGGGCCGCCTCCTCACCAGTACCCACCCCAGGGCTGGGGCAATACCTACCCCCAGTGGCAGCCACCTGCTCCTCACGACCCAAGTAAGTAGGCTGCCCGGATGAGGGGCAGGGCAGGGCGTGGCTGCCCGGGTGGGGAGGGCAGGGCTGGCCTCCCGCACCGCCCCTCAGCCCACGCCGCCCTCCCGCAGATAAAGCTGCAGCCGCCGCAGACCCCAATGCCGCCTGGGCCGCCTACTACTCACACTACTACCAGCAGCCCCCAGGCCCCGTGCCCGGCCCTGCGCCAGCCCCCGCGGCCCCACCTGCCCAGGGCGAGCCCCCTCAGCCCCCACCCGCCGGCCAGTCGGACTACACTAAGGCCTGGGAAGAGTATTACAAGAAGATTGGTGAGTGTGCGGGCGACCTCGGGGGCTCAGGCCGGAGGCTGGTGAGAGGCAGCCGGGTCCCGGTGCCGTCCGTCCTCTGACCTCCCGCCGCCTCCCTCCTGCAGGCCAGCAGCCCCAGCAGCCCGGAGCACCGCCACAACAGGACTACACGAAGGCCTGGGAGGAGTACTACAAGAAGCAGGGTGAGCTGCTGGGGGCTCTGGGGGCGGGGCAGTGCTGGGTCCAGGTTCTCCAGCTCCCGGCCTCACTCGCTCACCCTCTGCTTGCCCGCAGCTCAAGTGGCCACCGGAGGGGGTCCGGGAGCACCCCCAGGCTCCCAGCCAGACTACAGTGCCGCCTGGGCTGAATATTACAGACAGCAGGCCGCTTACTACGGACAGACTCCAGGTCCCGGCGGCCCCCAGCCTCCACCCACACAGCAGGGACAGCAGCAGGCAAGTGGGAATTGCCACCCTCCTCCTCCTCCTTTTTCCTTCCAACCCCCGGCCACCGTCCATCCTGCCTTAGTGGGTAGCGCCGGAAATCCCTTCCCCTGCGGGGTGTGTCCTTGATGCCTGCAGCGGGGGCCGTGTGGCCAGAGGTCTCCGGGAGTCCCCACGAGCTGGGGAAGTGTGCGCTGGGTCCAGAGGTTAAACGAAGAGGCCTCCCTGCGCCGGCCCGCTTGTTCCTGTGTCACGCTGTCGCGATGCTGGGGGAGAGCGCGAAACCAATACAAGGTGGAACTGTTGAACTGGTGGGTAGTCCTGGGGGTGGGGGGGCAGGCCAGCGGCACAGACGTCGGTCGCCATCCTGGCTGCTCGCTCGCTCACTCAAAATCTGGCCACTCGGGAAGAAAACGGATGTGTTTTCCCCTCTCCGCGTTACTTTTTTGGGTTTTGTTCCTGGCATTCTTTTATTTTTAACCCCACGGTCTTTCCCCCGTGTCCAAGTGACTGTGTGTTGCAGGCGGCCCCCATGCGGGTCAGCCCTGGCTCTGCTGGGACTCGGGGAGCTTGCCAAGGGGGCCGGCCCCAGGGCGCCCCCCCCCCCGCACCCCCTTCTCCGCCCCCCTCCCCGGGCTCTGCCTCCTCCGCTCTCGCGCCTGCCTCTGTGTCCCGGTTTTGTCTGTGAAGTGGGCATGACGATCGCCGCCACCTTCCAACCTACCTCACAGGGGTGTTGTGGGGACACCGTGATCTCTGACATTGTCATGTTGTGATGCGCCGGAGCACCTGCCTTCCTGAGGACAGAGGGCACCCCTCCTCCCTCCCAAACCCCAAGCGCGCGT